TCTTAGAACTCTATAGAATATGCCTCCACTGTTTTCTGAAATTGCGTTGCTGTGGAAGGTTCCCATTCTCCTCACCTCATCTCCGTGCACTGCCTAGTTACATGGTTCTTTTTTTTATCCTTTAAGCTCAGTAACTTTTTTAGGATGTCTTGGTGTTCATTGCACCATCAAGTTTTCTGGGGTTGCAGTGTGGCAGTTAATCTGTCGGGCCAAGTCTTTTTTATGCCAGGGGATTTTTTTCATTCTATATTTGAATACCTTTTTTCCTTTTTCTATTTATTTTCTTTCAGAATGACACCATTTATGTGTACACTGGGTCTCCTTTTGCCTCCCCTATCTGTCGTTGGGTCTTATTAGTCTTCTCCAGTGATTCTTGCGTGATTTCCTCCAGCCTGCCCACCACCTCTCTACTTGTCACACTGTGCTTTGTCTGTTTATTCATTGCTTATAAGACGGTTTTTTAAAAATCTGTGATGTGTTTATTTTTCTTTTCTATTTCTCCCCTGAGCTCTGCTAGCACACCTCTCAGCTCTTATCTCTTTCTGTCATCAAGTAATTTCTTTTTCAAATTTCCATGTCTCCTTTCTTCCACCTCTCTGCCCCCGCGAGTTTTTAAGAGATCGTGTCAGTAAATTCTCTGAGTCGATGGAGAATTATTTTTCTCAGGTCTCTCCGTATTTCTCTGGATGATTCGTCGTGTGATGTATGTTGTTCATTTTCCCCCCGCTCTTAATTTATAGGACCCGTGTGGGTTCCTTTCTGGTTATCATTCTCAATAGCAATGGGTAAAAATGTAGAGAGCGATCCGGAGCAGTCTGCAGCTGCATTTGGGGCTTATTTATTGTCAGGAAGACTCTCTTCCCAGAGCTTTTATTTATCCTGTGCCCTGGGACTCCGGCTCTCTCAAGTTTCAAAGCTCATTCCTGGCTCACAGCAAAGCTCTTCAGTGCTGTGACTCTCTGTACTGTGACCAGCCCTTGCTGCCCCTTCTCCCTCTCTCCCAAGCCTCATTGCGCTCCCGGCATCTCCCGTAGCCGGAAAGCTAGGTTCTGTCATAGAAATGGCTCGTTGGCATGATTTTTCCATCATTACTCTTTTTTCCATTACACGATGTAAAATCACGTCTCTGCGTGTCCTAAATGGTTCCTAGCAGCACCGTTCCCATGAGCCCCCAACTGGAAACTGCCCAAGGACCTATGAACAATGAAACGGTCACGTCAAGGATAGGATATTCACCCCATGAAATACTAAGACAGCAAAGAGAGAGAACAACCTACGGCTATGAGCGACGACTCGGATGAATCCGCGAACATGAGGCTGATCCAAAGAAACCAGAATTAAAAGAGCACATACAGTAGGATTCCCTGTGATGCTGTAGATAGTTGGATACTGGCAACTCATAGGCTTCGACCTAATACAAAGTCCAACAACGGGCGAGAGACAGAACCGGTTGTTCGTGATTGGGAGATGTGGCTAGAAGGGAGCACGGGGAGCTTCGGGGTTGTTAATTTTCTGTTTCTTGATCGGGGCGCTGGCCAGATGGGTGTGTTTAATTGTGCGAAAACATCTCTGCTTATGATATGGGCACTTTTTTGTATCTGTGTGATAGGTCAATAAAAAGTAAAAAAAAAAAACAAAACAAAACCCAGGGAGATGCCTATCCTCCCCCGGGGGGCCACCACGGCCCTAAATTTCATTGTTCCAACGGGTCAGCCGTGGCCATGGCCTTCAGGAGGTGGTGTGTCTTAGGGGTCAGGGCTCATGTGAGCGAGCGCTCAGCCCGTCCCTCCTCCCAGAGCAGACTTCGTGGTGTCTGGCTGCTGTCATAGGCTGTGATTTGGGGCTGTGATGATTTCCTTGTCTCATCAGCCATGCTGACTTTTCTCGGTCTTCGGTCATTTTGTTTTGTTTTTGAGGGAGGACGGGAGAACGCAGATGCTCCAGCTCCACCATCTCCAACAGGAGATCAGGATAGATTACTAAACTGACTCTGCTGGCGTAGCTAGAAGAAACAGGCTTGACTTTTTTTTCTTAACTAAATGAAACGCTAGGACTTGACGGGATGAGAGACTAGACCATCGGCCCTTCAGAGCGATCGTGGAAACACAGCACCCAGAATGGCCAGCGCTCAGAGGTCACTGCCGTCTGTCTCCTGAGTTCTGCATCTCTTGCCAGGAGCATCCAGAGGGGGTGCAGGGTTCTGAAGCTTTTTCGAGGGGGAGCCCTGGCAGGTGTGGGTGACCACAGGCTGCTTGGGGCTGCTTGGAAGGACAATGTTTGCTTCCGTGAGGAAATGCTAATTGTGAAACTCACGCTTTCCGGTCCTACCTTGTCTGGCAAGTGTCTTTTCTCCCCTGGGAGAGAGAGTCCTCCTAGATGTGGGTGATGGTCTCTTGTCACCGTGGTCCTGCCCCACTTCTGACACTGACCTCTAGGCACATGGGTGAGCAGTCACACTTGGCTGCAGGGGATGGTCTGGTCTTAGCCTTGAGCATGTCCTGCCCCGTGGCGAGTGTCCGCCCTGTCCCTTGTCCTCCCCAGCAGTGCGGGGGGCGCACCCTGTGGGAGGCCGCTCCAATGGTGCGTCCCGTTCCTGCCTCAGGGCCTTTGTTCGTGCTGTTCCGAGCCCTCCCTCCTGTTATTAGTCACCGGGCACTGAACTCTAATAGATAGAACTATCGATTTTGATCGCTTAGATTCCTAGAGCTTCTCAAGAACATTTATTAGAGGTTGCGGCTGACCTCTGTTATTTAGATGATGAAATGAGGCTCGCCCAAGGTCACGCTGGGTCCCTGCATTCATCCTTGTGTGGCAGAAAAGGGGCACGGGGTTAGGGTTAGGCAAGCTTGGGAAACCGCCCCCATTAACCCTTGGTTTTCCCTTTCCTGTCCCCAGTTCTCATTTCATCCGACTGCCCCGAGAGTACAGGCCTCTCCTTGGTGTCGGGAGATTCCCGATGCGATGCCTGGTCTGCCCATGGAGCCGGGTGGAAGTCCATCCCGGTGTGAGCTTGGACGCCTCGATGACCCCGCCGAGCCCGGGCTCTTGTTTCATACCCCATCGTGGAAGGAGGGGACATTCTGGGGGCTCGGGGCCGTCGCTTCTCTCTCCGGTGGCATCAGCTCCCAGCCAGACGTGAGCAGGGGCCCGCAGGCCTCGGGGAAGGCGGGTCTCAGAGCTGAGCGGCCCACAACCTCTGCTTTCTCGTCTTCCTGGACCATTTCAGCTTGGACCCTGAGCGCATGCCCGCTCAGCTAGGAGCTGGACCCACCTACCTTAAAAGAAGGTTGATGACGATCTGTTTGCACTTGAGCATGGCCTCTGGAGAGCCCGGCCACTCCTGTGATAAGTTTGGGGATTGGGGTCGATCGGGGTACCTGAGAGGGGAAGTCCCTCCCACTGAGGGGCCTTCCAGGTGCAGAGATGTAGTTGAGGGGGAGTAAGACAGGAGGCATACCTGTCGGGGCCGGGGCGGGGGGCATTGCTCAGATGCACCACAGGAAGCCTCTGGGTCATAGAACTCCTTCATTCGGGGTCTTTTAGAGCCATAGCTTTTGTCTAATGTATGGCTGCCAGGTGTGGGGTGCCGTTTCATGGGATATGCAAAGTCGTTGAACTCTCCTTGGCTGAAAAGATGTCTATCTGGACTGTACTTAAAGCAACTGGATGTGTGAGAATTCGAGCTTGGTGCCGGGGGCTTTGAGCGAACAGTTCTACCTACTGTAAAGGACGTAAACACATGCGGGTCACGTTAGGCTGATATCATGGGGGGCATCTCTGGCTCACGGATGTAACATCCCACGCCCTCTGCCTCTCTTCCTAGGTGATTTATTAAAGAATTTCTTCCAGCCCGATGTACTGTCTGTCCCAAGGGTTCTGGTATATTCAATTTCCGCAACCTCGTGAGCTATCCAGTAATGCATTAGTGCCTGGGCGATGTGCAGGCCTCGTGCAGATGGGCCCCAGGGACGCTGCCTGCCTGCCCGGCCGGCCCTCGCCCTTATCACTTATCAGAGTGCCCTGACTCTGGTCACCGTGACTTCTCGCCGACGACTGTCCCCAGCGGGGCCCTCGTCAAATATAAGATACTACTCTGATTCTGCCACTCCCTGCCTTGGAAACCTCCACGCAGCCCCAGGAAAGAGCATAGAGTCTCTCGGGGGGTAATTGAATATATTTACAGCGAAGCCCTCACCATGCAGAAGACAGATTTTGCTGAGTGATTTCATTTTCCAGACAACTGGGAATAGGCCTCTTTCAAGCATTAATTTTTTTAAAAAAAATTTGATTGCTTGAGGTGCACATCTTTACCAAATACATTCTTTTGTCATCTTAAACAGAAGCTACTATGAGTACCTTGTTTATTTTTTAAAATAGCTTTTTTTGGGAGACATAATTCACAGGCTGAGCAATTAGTTTACCTCTTCTCGTCCGTCAGCCACAGAATAGGTGTGAATAGTTGTTGGTTTGAACTGAAATCACTCATGATCACCCGCTTTAGACAACTCAGAATCTTGTGCCAGGAAGCAGCGATGCCATCTGCCCGGCCGGCCCCGAGTGACACGGGCGGAACTAACTGGCCCAGCACCGTAGTGTCCCAGAACGCTGATTTTTACATTTCTCGCGTCTACTTTTCGTAGTTTGGCTTGTCCCACCTTTTCCCCATGGCCGGCCACCATTGCTCACTGCCATCACCATGCCCGCCTCTGGCTACTGCAGAGGACTCAGGGGACAGAAGCGGCAGCTCGTTAGAACTGTGCATAAAAGAAGAGAGGCCGTTCCCACGTAGGAGACGTGACAGCCGCCCACCGCCCGGCCCCTGCTCATAGGGTGACAGTCCTTTATCTCTCCACGGCTGAGAGCGGACATGCGTCCCCTACACAATCACTTAGCAAACAAGGAAAATGGGAGCTGGGGAGGAGAGGGCATTTGCGCAAGGCCACGTGGTGGGCCCGCCCTCTGCGAGAAAGTGACTCTCCCGTTCCCCCTTCCTCCCTCAGGGGTCTTCGGTGAATTTTGTCATAGAAGTCCCAACGCGCAGTTCCCCGTCGACGGGAAGGCCTGGACTCCAAGATGCTGGTGAAGGAGTACCGGATCCCGCTGCCGATGGCCGTGGAGGAGTACCGCGTCGCCCAGCTCTACATGATCCAGGTGGGTGGCGGGGCCGGGGCCGGGGCCGGGGCGCACGCATGGGCGCACGCACGGCTCTCAACACCTGTGCGTGCGACGCGCCCTTCCCAGCACAGCGTATCCCCGTGGGTGTCCGGCTGGCGACCACAGGGCTGGGCACAGCGCCACACTATGGGTGTTCGCGGCGTCGCATGGGCTCGCCAGCGCGGAGGTCACGGCGCGTGATGCTCATCACCTCGCTCAGCCAGGTGGCGCCCTCATGTCGAGTCGGCTCAGGCTGCCGTAACCGAACAGCGCAGACTGGCGGCCTTGAACAACGACATTGACTCCTCACAGTTCTGGAGGCTGGGAAGCGCGAGACCAAGGCGCTGCCAGATTTGGGGCCCGGTGAGGGCTCACTGCCTGGCTTGCAGGCGGCCACCTTCTCACTGTGTCTTGCGTGGCAGAAGGCGCACGCATGGGCGCACGCACGGCTCTCAACACCTGTGCGTGCGACGGGCCCGTCCCAGTACAGCGTATCCCCGTGGGTGTCCGGCTGGCGAGCACAGTGCTGGGCACAGCGCCATGCCATGGGTGTTCGTGGCGTTGCGTGGGCTCGCCAGCGCGGAGGTCACGGCGCGTGATGCTCATCACCTGCTCGCTCAGCCAGGTGGTGCCCTCGTGTCGAGTCGGCTCAGGCTGCCGTAACCAAACAGCGCAGACTGGAGGCCTTGAACAACGACATTGACTCCTCACAGTTCTGGAGGCTGGGAAGCGCGAGACCAAGGCGCTGCCAGATTTGGGGCCCGGTGAGGGCTCACTGCCTGGCTTGCAGGCGGCCACCTTCTCACTGTGTCTTGCGTGGCAGAAGGGGTGAGGGCGTCCTCTGCGATCGCTTTTCTATGAGAGCACCCATCATGCGGCCACCGCCCTCATGATCTAATCACCTCCCAAAGGCCCGACCCGTTAATGCCGTCCCACTGGAGGCTGGGGCTTCAACATATGAATTGTGGGGCGGGGGATACAGAACTTCAGCCTGTAGCAACCCATTTGATGGGCAGGAAGGAGTGAGGCCCAGAGGAATGAAAGGACTTGCCCAGGAGCACACGGCCGCCTCCCGGCTCCCAGAGCCACGCTTCCCCCGCGACCTCAGGCGGCCTGCCAAACAGCAGCGTCAGCTGCCTGGCGCATTTACAGAATCACAAACGAGTTTGTGACAAGCCCGAGGATGTCACCCCACCAGAATACGGGCCTCCCTGCTCAGTGCCCATCTCCGCGGGGACACGGGACCCAGAGTCCCAGGACCCGGTGCTCATAGCCCAGATGTGAGCACAGCTCCCGCTCGCTGGGGTCCTGCTCTGCGGCGGTCCCGTCCTAACTTCTCTGCCAGCCTCTTGCTCATCCTCAGTGCCCTGGCCCTTTGCCCAGCCTGGCAGCTCCCCTCCCACTTGGGGGTCTGATTACGAACCCACTCTGGGCTCAGCTCTGGCTCCTGTGGGCACGTGGACACCTTGGTCTAGCCTCTAGCCAGGCTATGTACCCCGCCCCCACCCTCGGTCACAGAATTATCACTGGGGCCATCGGTACAAGGAGAGCCTGGGCCGGCGGGGCCCCCACCTCCATCCTGGGGTTTGCTGGTGGCTCTCAGCCTTCTGCCCGGGTTCCGGGAAGTAGTTACAAGCTCCCTGCAGAGCCCGGGGCCCCCAGCTGCCTCTGTGGGGAGCTGGATGAAGCTGCTCCCGTGCGACCAGGCTCCCCACAGGAGAAGCGTGGCTGCAAAGGGAACAGAAGGCAGACTCAGCCTCCCTGGGAGCTGCTTGCTCCAAGCCACTTCAGAAGTGCCACTCAACTCCCTCTTGAACCACTTAGCCCGTCATTCCTCCTAGAGAGCGGGCAGAGAAGAAGAGCCATCTATCAGCCCCCCAGCTCTAGGCACCCTGGAAATGGCTCAGCCTGTTCGAGGACCAGGCTGATGTGCCAAAGCCACTCTTTGTCCTGTGGCATCTTAATTGCCACCCCAGCCGGGGGAGCCCCAGGCCGCTGCCTTTCGAGACCAGCCTGCCCTGCTGTGGCTGCCACATTTGTCTCACCTGCCTCTGGCCCCGAGCTCCGGGGTCTCCATCTACTACGTGGGTGACAGATAGGCACGTTGTCTCTATGGTGCTCCAGATTCACAGGTGTGAGCATACGTCGAAGCTCACGGTCACAACTGTACCTTCACTTGAATACGGTTTGCCGTATATCGGTCAGCCCTTAAGAGAACCGTTGAAAAGATAAGTTTGATGGACCAGACTTCCATGCCCGGGTTACAGAGACGGGTGGAAGCACTGTCCACTCTCCAGGCGCATCTGCGGGGAGCTGGACGCACGTGCAGCCCACTGCGCACAGGCCTGCGGGGCCAGCGAGCTCCGGGACACGAGCGGGGTGGCCGGCCACGGGCCTTGGGCCCGCGCTCCGGAGCGCATCTGCTCTGGGCCGGGCCTTGCGAGAGGCATGGCCTTTAAGGCAGCTGCGTTTCCGTGGGAGGAAGAGCAGGGTCTCAGTCCCGGCGACCAGCTGGGGCGGTCAAGGTCATGAACAAGAAGAGGCGACCTGGCGTGTCAAAGGCCTCGCACTGCGCCTGACCTGCACCCCGTATGTGTGTCGTTAAAGGTTTCAAAACAAACAAACAAAGCTGGCCTGGCTGGGAGAGAGCCGTCCGGCCTAGGAGAGCCCCGGCAGATGCTTAGCTCAGAGCGAGCCGTCAGAGGCGCTCGGCCAGGACCCTGGACAGCTCTGAGAGCTGCTGCCTTGGGAGCTTCTTGGGCTTTGCCCCCTCCTACCCCTCGTCAGCCCCAGCGTGGCTGGCCGGGCTGCTCCTCCCCCTACCCACCCAGCCCAGAGCCTTCTACCTTCTCATCAGGTCTGGGCTTTCTCTGCACCAGGTTGGAGGTGGCGCAGGCCCCTCCCACCGTCCTTGGGTCCCGGGGAGGCAGAGGGCAGGGGTCCCCACCCAGCCTGCCCTGGCAAAGTAGGCAGGGGGCAGGGTCAGGCGTCCCCCTGGGTGTGCATGCCCCTGGGCAGCCGGCCCCTGCTGCCGTCTGCTGATCCCGCGGGGGATGCCACAGCCCCGCTCATGGGAACGGCTGGCAGGGATGCGGGTGCCTCCGGTGCAGGCACAGGAGCTCAGGCCTGAGGGGCATGATGGGGAGTGGCAGCCGTGCTGGGGGAGACCTGCCCCCTGGGGTGCCGCCGCTGGTGGGGAGGTGCCCAAGCTCGGAAGGCACTGGTGGCAGTTGGGACCAGAATCCAGTTATTCGTCCGACCAGTCTTCACACCTACGGCACAGGGGCACCGAAGTGCTCTGTGGCGATACAGGCTGGGGCCGGTCTGAGTCCCAAAGACTCTGCCACTGCCAGCTGTGGTCCTTGTGTCCTTGTGTGGCCCACTGTATCCATCTCCCTTGAGGAACCACAGCCGTTGCCACCACAAGCGATGATGGGGGCCTGGGTGTCAAGGGCCTGACATACGTCACCCACTTTAACTCTCACCATACCTGATCATACCTGTAGAGGTTGTGTTATTTGTTCCCATTTTACAGATGAGCGTTTGAGGCTCAGAGATGTCAAAGAACTTGCCCAAGGATGCACAGCGGGCCCTTTGCAGCCAGGCTTTGTCGCACGGTCTTGGAGATCTCATTTCTCCTCTGAGTCATAGCTGCCGAGGGCTGAGGCAGAGACGCCTCGCCCCCATCTGCCCCTGAAGGCCATGCACCTTCCCCGGCCTCTCATACAGCTCTAGCCCCCTCCTCACCTCTCACGCACGCACGTACACCCGCACTGAGGTCATCTTGCAGGCGACCAGGCCAGGGTCATTGTGGTCGGCTGCACACCAGGGAATGTGCTGGTTCCAAAAGGCTGTGTGGCCGAGGGCTCGGCTCTGAGGGTGTGGGCGGGGCTGCGTGGGAGGCAGCGAGGGCCTCACCTGTCTGGCAGGTGTGGGATCATCAGGATGCTAGCCCCGTTTTTCCCACAGGTGGGCTGAAGCTCACTCACAGGAGGGTGACGAATGTTAAGGATCTTGAAATAAGGTCATTCTGGATTCAGGGAGGGCCCTAAATCGAACGGCTGTTGTAATTACAAGAAGAGAGGAAGGTGGCCATGTGGTGACGGAGGCAGAGATCTGAGCGAGATGACCACCAGCCAAACAATGCCTGGGGCCAGCGGGACCCGGAGTCAGCAAGGAGGGACTCTGGCAGGGCCTGCTGGGGCGGCCATGCCAGCTTTCCTGGGCGGGGGAGTCTGAAGACACCTCAGGCTGAGGTCACCTGAGTGGGCAGGGGCTTCTCTCAGGCCCCCGAGGCCAGCTGGGAAGGGCCCTCCCTCCTCCTGCTCCCTCCCTTCCCCGCCCTCAGCTGGGCACCCCGCCTTCACCCTCAGAGACTCCACGGGGTTCTGGCCTCTCACACCTGCCCAGAACCCCAGACGTGTCCATTTCCTGGAGCTGCGTGACAAAGCACCTCAGGCCGGGGGGCCGAAAGCAGCAGAAATGTGTCCTCTCCCAGCTCGGGAGCCAGAGTCTGAAATCGAGGTGTCAGCAGGGCCACGTCTCCTCTGAGGGCTCCGGGGGAGGCTCCCTCCTGCCTCTTCCAGCTCCTGGGGGCCCCAGGCGTTTCTCGGCTGGTGGCTGCATCACCCTCGTTTCCGCCTTCAGCGTCACTTGTCTGTCTTCCCTCTGCACATGTCTGTGACTCTGTTCCCTCTTTTTATAAGGATGACAGTCATTGGATTCCGTATGACCTCACCTGAACTCACTACATCTGCCAAGGCTGTTTCCAAATAACCCCACGGTCTGAGGTTCCGAGTGGACAGGATCTGGGGAGCCGATCCTCCGCCCATCACTCTGGGGCTCGGGCAGGCAGGGAGACCGGAAACTGAGATCAGAGAGAAATAACTTGCCCAGGGTGAGGGGCAGTTGGTCTCAGAGCTGGAGACAGAATCTACTTATTCGCTCCATAAATATTTATCGAGCACCTCCCTGTGCGGAGTGTTTTCCCTCTGGAGCTTATGCCGGGGCCGAGCCGGCCCTGCCATCCGACAGGTCTGAGCTCGGACCCCGGTTCTGCCATGTAGCTGTAACCTCGGGCAAACCACCCCGCCTCTCTCAGCCGCCACCTTCCCATCGGTAAATGGGGGACCGTCGTGGCACTGCGCCTCCCTCAAGGGCTCGTCGCCATCACGAAAGGTGGAAGGACACGCAGTGTGCTCGGCAGAGCCGTTAGTCAACGGAGCTACTGTCAGAGGCCCCCGGAGCTGAGCGCGTGTCCAGGAAGTGGTTGCTACCTCCTCGCAGAACCTGGGCCACGTTCCAGGAGCTCCTTTAAGGAGCGAGGGCTGGTGTGCACCTGCTCCGACTCCATCTGCCGCCTCCGCCAGGGTCTTTTCGGTTGTTGTCCTGGGCCATGGAGATACAGCCCGACTTTGTGCCCTAGAGAGGACATGCCCTGGGGCTGAGACAGCACTGCTGGGAGTACCTGTGTGCATGCACGTGCATAGGTGTGTGCCCTCGGGGGGGGTGTGCGTGAGCGTGTACATACCTGCTGTTCAGGAAGCTGACCGAAGGTGGCCTTGGCAGTGCGGTCACGTCTCCATGGAAACAGATGCCGGGCTTAAAACCACACAGCATCTCAGTCGTGAGGTTTTCTGCATTTGTGGCAGAGAGAGGCTTAGAGGTGACTCAGGTGTCATACCTGTCTGTCGGTGCCTCCGAGACCCCTGCCCGCTTCTCACGTTCGATCTCTCAAATCAGAGAGAACAGAGGCAAGACTGGCTTGTGCTTGAGATGTAAGTCACACAACACACAACTCACACATTGGAAGCACGTAGTTCAGTGGTTTTTAGTGTAGTCGCAGGGTTGTGAAACCATCACCACAATTTTAGAACATTTTCAGCTCCTCACAACGAAGTCATCATCCATTCTCCGCCATCCCTGAGTAACCAATCATCTACTTTCCAAGTGGGTTTGCCGATCCCGGGCTTTTTCATATAAGCGGGTCATGCAACATGTGGCCTTTTGTGACTGGCTGCTTTCGCTGAAAGTGATGTTTTCAGCGTTTGTCCACAGTGTGACGTGTGTCAGTGCTTCGTGCCTTTCTGTGGCTGAATCATTCCCTCGCGAGGGTATAATTCGTTTCTCCATTTTTCAGTTCGTGGATTTCGGCTGTCGTGAAGAGTGCTGCTCTGAGCATCCCTGTCCACGTTTCTGTGCCGACATAAGTTTTTATTTTCTCGGACGTGGACCCACGGGTAGAACTGCCGGGTCACATGATAACTCTGTTCCACTTTTTTAAGGAACTGCCAAACTTTTCCACAGTGACTGCACCATTTTACATTCTCACCAGCCACGCGCGACGGTGTCTGTTTCTCCACACCCACAACCAGCCCTCGTTAACCATTTATCTTTTTCGTCACCCTGGTGGGTGTGCGGTGGTAGCTCACTGCAGATTTGATTTGCACTTCCCTGGCGACCTGTAATGTGGAGTATCTTTTTTGGGGGCCTGTTGGCCGTTTGTGTGTCTTCTTTGGAGAAGTGTCTATTCGAGTCCTTGGCCCATTTTTAAATTGAGTTGTTTCTTTGTTGAATTATAAGAGTTCTTTGTACATTTTGGATACAAGTCTCTTATCAGATAGATTATTTACAAAAAAACTCTCCCGTTCTGCGGGTTGTCCTTTCATTTTCTTCATGGCGTTCTTTGATGCACAAAAGTTTTAAAATTTTGATGAGGTCCAGTTTATCTCTCTCTCTTTCTTTCTGTTTCTTTCTTTTTTTTTTTTTTTTTTTGGTTGCTAGTGCTTATCGTGTCCTATTTAAGAAGCCATTGTCAAATCGAAACGTGATTTGCCCCTATGCTTTCTTCTAAGATTTTTATAATTTCAGCTCTTCCATTTAGGTCTCTGATCGATTTGAGTTGATTTATATATATATGGTGTGAGGTTGGGGTCCTCCTTCCTTCTTTCACATGTGGATAGCCAACTGTCCCAGCACTGTTTGTCGAGAAGATTATCCTTTCCCCCACTGAATGGTCTTGGCACCCTTATTGAAAATTAATATATGTAGTCTGTAGATATAGGGGTTTATTCCTAGACCGTATGCCACAGATCTGTCTACGCAATGCTGATACTACATTGTTTTGATCACTGTATTTTTAGAGGAGGTTTTGGTATAGGAAAGTGTGAGTGTTCCAACTTTGTTTTCTTTTCAAGATGGTTTTGGCTCTTTAAGATCTCTCTCAATCCCATATGAATTTAGGATGAGTTTTTCCATTTCTACTGCAAAAGAAGGCCTTCGGCATTTTGACAGGCATTCCGTTTGGTCTGTAGATTGCTTAAGGGAGTGTTGACGTCTTAATATTGAGTTTCCCAGGGCATGAAAACAGATGTCTTTCCTTTTATTCAGGTCTTTTATTTCTTTCAGCAATGTTTTGTCGTTTCCAACATACAAGTCTGTCACTGCCTTGGTTAAATTTTATTCCTAGGTATTTTATTCCTTTGGATGCTATTATAAATAAAAAATAATTATCTCATTTTCTTTTCGCATAATTTTGTTTTTGAGTGTTGATTTTGTATCTTGCAACTCTGCTGAGTTCATACAGCAAGTTTAAAAGGTTTTTAGGGGAATTCTTGAGATGTGTCACTGACGAATTGAGGTAGTTTTACTTCTTCCTTTCCAACTTGGATGCCTCTTATTATTTCTTTTTCTCACCTAATATCTCTGGCCAGAATCCCTAGGACAGTGTTGGATAGTAGTGAGGCAGCGGGTGTCTCCCCCTCGTTCCTGGCCTTGGGAGCACTCGCAGTCCTGGGACAGACAGGAGTCAGAATAGAGGAGTTGGCACGTGCGTGCAGCTCTGGGAGGGGACTGTGACCTGTCCAGTCTCCCACAAGAGTGCCGGGGCACGTGGAGCCTGGGTCTGGATTCGGGGGCACGTGGAGCCTGGGTCTGGATTCGGAGGCAGGTGGAGCCTGGGTCTGGATTCGGGGCCACGTGGAGCCCGGGTCTGGATTCGGGGGCAGGTGGAGCCTGGGTCTGGATTCGGGGGCACGTGGAGCCTGGGTCTGGATTCGGGGGCAGGTGGAGCCTGGGTCTGGATTCGGGGGTCCTGAAGTGGTGCAGAAGGAGCCAGCCTGGTTGGCCAGAGCCCCTCCTCCCACTCGGCACCCTGGGCGATCTCCCGAGCCCCTGCCTTCTGTAGAGCACCCCGGCCCCCACATCACGGGCGCTTTCGTCCCCACAGAAGAAGAGCCGCGACGAGACGCACGGCGAGGGCAGCGGCGTGGAGATCCTGGAGAACCGGCCGTACACCGACGGCCCCGGTGGCTCCGGCCAGTACACGCACAAGGTGTACCACGTGGGCATGCACATCCCCAGCTGGTTCCGCTCCATCCTGCCCAAGGCGGCCCTGCGGGTAGTGGAGGAGTCCTGGAACGCCTACCCCTACACGCGGACCAGGTGAGCCCGCCCCCCCCGAGCCACCGGGTGGGGAGCCCACCGTGGTGTGGGTCCCAGGTGGGCTCAACCCCTGGCCCTCCAGGGAGCCCAGGCTTCCGGGGAGCTGAGCCTCCGTCCAAGATGGTTGTACCCCGAAGGTCCCCCGGCGTTCCCCTAAGGGAACAGGCAGGAGAAAGGGGTTCACACACGATGCCTCCCGGCCCGCCCAGGGGAGGAGGCCAGGAAGGCCTGAGTCCAGTGAGGGCCGTCTGAGACCCCCGGCCTTCCTCGATGGCTCAGGGAGTACACACTCACCTTGACATTTGCCTGAGAATGCGAGACAGCTGGCTGGGAAGGAACGTGACCTGAGAGTAGACCAGCTGGCCCAGAGTCCCTCCTACCCTGAGCCCTTCAGCCGCCATGGTGTGTTCTTACGCCCCATACTGAGCTGGGGTTTCCTCTGGATCCCCCACCCCGGTAGGGAGTCCTTCACTCTGTGGCCCTTCCCCGCCCATGTGGCTGAGCTCTGCTGGGTTGGAAGAGATGGGGGCTGCACCCAGCCGTCCGCCCCTTGCTGCACAGGTGGGGTCCCCCCAAGTCCACCCTTTGCGAGGGCCCGGAGCTTACAGGAGGCCCCAGGGGGTTGTCCCCCCAGCCGAGAAAGAAGGGAGGAGGGACTATGCCCTGGCTGCTGGACCTGGCTCTTGGGGTCCAGGGTCCGGGCGTGGCATGTCACACAAGTGCTCGTCCAGATTCAGTGCTCATGACATCGCTCTGCGTGTGGTCCGTCCGTGTGTGCCTGTGTCCACGCCATGCCTTACCGGGGTGGCCGATGGGCGCAGGCTCCGGCAGCTTCCTGCAGCGTCTCCCTCCCCACCCCAAGCCTATCCTGCCCCTAGTGTGGCCTCAGCTGTTCTCGGGACAGGGTGAAGGTCCATGAGATGCATGGGACAGACGAGTCTTGGCCACGCCTCCGGCCTCCTCCTCCGCCCTGGGCCCTTGTCCCCTGCCCAGCGGGGCCCGGCGGGCCCTGGCCCAGCCGCCCACCCCCTCCAAACGCGGGTCCTGATGGGAGCCTCCCTTTCACTCCACAGGTTCACGTGCCCTTTCGTGGAGAAATTCTCCATCGACATCGAAACCTTTTATAAAACTGATGCTGGAGAAAACCCCAACGTGTTCAGCCTGTCTCCGGTGGAAAAGAACCAGCTGACGATCGGTAAGCGGGATGGCGGGGGGCCCTGCGGGGCTGCGTTGAGGGTCTCGCTGTTCGTGGGCCCCTCAGTCGGTGTCCAGGCCTGGCAGCACCAAACCCGCTCCTGTCCCCGGACGAGGCAGTTGGAACGGCGAGCCAGCGCAGGTGGGGGCGGCCCCGGGGGAGGCAGGACAGGCCTTCCTGGCCCATTTTCCCGACACGCACACTCCGGCTAAGCGCCTTTTCCTCCCTGACCTCCTTCCCTCCATCCCTCCAAGGTGTCCTCAGCCCTGGAAGTGCACGTGTGTGCCCAGGGGCCATCTCAGGCTAACAGCCATGCAGAGTGCAGAGGTCTGTGTCCCCTCAGTGTCCAGTGGCCTCTGCTCCACTCCCCGACAGTTGACTGTGCCACGTGGGAAATGGCCTCATTTGTTAAATCTCCTTTTGTAAAAGAGACCAGAATTTGGAATTTTCATGTGAAATCTCCCGATTCCTAAATGTTGGTGACTAATTAAAAATCTTTGTCAATAAACATATACTGGCCAAATAAAACACATCTGTGGGCCAAATGCAGCTCAGCAGCCACCAGTCTGCAAGCTCTGGGTTCCAGGCCTGAAGGAACGAGTCACACGAAGGTGTTTCGGGCAGTGGCACGGATGGCACTGGAGAGCCCGGCTGCTGGCGCCCCAGGAGCGAACTGCCAGCGGCCTCTCTGATAGGCGTGAAGGGCTTTTCCCTGAGACCACTCCCCGCCAGAGAGGCCCACTGGCGGGTGGGAAGCTGTCCGTCTGCTGGGGGTGTTACAACAAAGTACCCCGGACTGGATGGCTTCAACGTTCCACAGCCCTGGGCGTCAGAGGTCCGAGATCGAGGTGTCAGCACCGGTCCCTGAGGGAGAGTCTGCCCCCAGCCTCTGGTGGCCACTCACAATCCCTGGGGTTCTTGGCTTGTAAACATGTCACCCCAGTCTCTGCCTTCAGCTTCACGTGGCATGCTCCCTGTGTGCGTGTCGGTGTCTGAATGTCCCCTTTGGACACGCTAGGCACGCTAGTCACGTGGGATCAGGGCCGACCCTAACCACCTCGTTTTAATGATTATGTCTTTAAGGGCCCTGTCTCCACATAAGGTCACTTTCTGAGGTGCTGGGGGTCAGGACTCCAATGTATGGGCTGAGCGGGGCATATTCTACCTGGCCAGCCTCAGATGCGGCCTGAGCTCCAAGGGCCCCTCAGGAGCCCCCCACCACCACAGCTCCTAATCCCAACTCTCCTACTGGGGGCCTTTCTGCCTGAGCATGCCGGGCACATGGTCTGCTCCAGGAGGGGACTTTCATCGGTCCCCAAATGCCACCGCACTTGGGTCCCTCACTGGTTTTGGTGGCCACAGCCCAGACCCGGTGCCAGCAAGCCGGGGAGGTGAGGTGGCCAGGGCCCGGCTGGGGCAGAGCCCGCCAAGTGCCATCATCTCCACACATCTGAAAGAAGGGCTCTCAGAGCCACAGAGCCCGCCCTGGTCCCTTCTCAGCACGTGTGTCCCAGCCCGGCTAACACGGACCTCGGGAGCCAGCGCGACGGGCGGTTTTGATTTTGGGGAAGGAGGCATGTGACGAGAGGTGGCCTGGCTTGCATCCTCTTGTCACCCCCTCCCCCAGCCCAGGTCCCGCCAGCCCCCAGTCCTATTTCCTGAGCGCCCAGCCCTGTGTCATCTGCTAGTCGCTGTTAGGCCCGCGGTGACCCTTTAAACAGCTGTTCCGCTCGCCTCCGTTCCATCCAGGAGGGATCCCCTCAGGCCAGCCCCCTAAGACCACACACAGCGCCACTTCCCCCTCAGGTACCATCCCGGCCCTTAGCCTGGCGAGAAGTGGCCGATGTGTCCAGCCACATCCCCATCACCTTCCCACGCGGACACTCTGGCGGCTCCCCCAACGCCCCCGGCCCGCAGTGGG